TGTAGATTAATGGCTGCCTTGGCTGGTGGTGGGGGGAATTACCTGGGATGCAAGGAAACTTGGAGTGATGGACATATTCACTATCTTGATTGTTGTGACGATTTCATGGGTATGTAAAACTCAAAACGTAGGAAAATGAACACGTTAAGTGTGTGTAGTCTAATGTGTGTTAATTATATAATAAACTATTAAAGCTACTAAACAATGAAAAAGGAAGAAACCCATAATCCAAGTATGGTACAGCCTTAGTTCTCTAGTGCTGCTATAACAGAAATACCACAAATGGATGGCTTCAACTAACAGGAATTTAGTCTTTTGCAGTTTAGGAGGCTAGAAGTCCGAATTCAGAGTGCCGGGCCCAGGGACTGGGTGAAGGCCCCTCAACATTGGGCTTCAGCTCTGCCTCTTGTTCCAGGCTCACTGGAGCCGGAAGCTTCTTCTAACTCCTGCAGCTGCTGGCTGCTGAGGCTGACAAACCCAAGACAGGCAGGTAAAAGGCACAGTCCCAAGATCAGCAGGCAACACAGCCCAAAATGTGCCAAAAAGCTCGAGATCTTGCCCAAAGCTTTTGCATAGATATTGGAAGCAGGCCACACCCTGAAAACAACACCCCTTCAACTACTTAGCTGCTCACAGCAGATCCCACCATGGAGGTGATTCCGATTCCTCATGGGTAACAACTACACGCAGCTGCTCTGTCACTCAGAACCACAGCCAAGCCAAGCTGATAACACGACCTTAACTACCACAAGCACCTGGGATTGCACCTGATGTTTATAGTTGCTCATTGAAAATTGACTCTTATTTTGAGAGCTGACCATCTGGAGGTCAAGGGCTGAGGTAGAGAGGCTCATGTGTTCAGGAAAGGGACCTAGCCACTTCCATGGAAGTATCTACCATATCATTTCCCTCCTGGGAGAAAAGGGGCAGGACCAGGGTAAACCCAAACCAGAAGCCCCCACCCCAGGCTGGACTGCCATTTCCTGTAGAGTCATGCTGCCCTCTCATGGCCACCAGGGGCACAGCAGCCTGTGTCCTCCCTTCACTCCACTCTCCACTCAGCCCTCCTACATTGCCCCTACCCAGCCCCTTAGGCTCCATCCATCCCTCCATCTGGCTGTTCACCCAGTCAGCCAACTGTTGATCTATTTGTCCATTCCTTCGTTCATCTGTCTGTCCATCCATCTTGTCATTTGTCCAGTTGCATCCACTGGTCCACATGCTAGTCTCCACCAACACTTAAAAAAAACAAACTCACTGTCATCGAGTTGATTCCAAGTCATAGCGACCCCCTTTGGGTTTCTGAGCCAGTAAATCTTTACAGAAGGAGATTGCCCAGTCTTCCTTCCATGGAGTGGCTGGTGGGTTTGAACCACCAACCTTCCCATTAGCAGTCAAATGCGTTAGGCACTCTACCACCAGAGCTCCTTCCACCAACACTTAGAGCCTCCAACATAGAGGTGCATTTTCAGTATGGCACATTCTCCCTCCCTGGATTGAGGCACTGCTATACCACATTCATGACAGAGTGCCCCCTGGTGTCCCCATCCTTACAGCACACGGACACCAATCCCAGGAGGTCCGGGCTGGGGGAATGGGAGCCACACTTCAGTCCTCTTTACCCCCCATGAGACTTTTCTCAGCAGTGCCCTTGTCACAGCCTCTCACCCTATGCTTCCCCTCTGACTCTACCTGCTCTTCTCCACAAGGTCCCATCACTCCTCTGCCCCAAACCCCCATGAAAGTCAGTGCTGGGCTCACGACTGTGTCCCTTTGGACAGATAGGTGAACCTCAAGCCTCCAAAGACACTCCCATATAAGTGTCACCACAGTACAGGCGAGAATGTACCCCCTGTGGGGACAAATGCTGCAGCTACCCCCCACCCCACCCCAAATTAGCACCAGGTGGCAGCAGACCTGGAAGTGAAAGTGATGTCCATCAAGCTTTTAGATAAATAAATAAATAAATACATAAATAAATAAAAGGATGTTTTCATGCCTTCAGGCAGGCAAAGATTTCTTTAAAGGGCAGAGGACTTAATAATTGGACTACATTAAAATTAAGAACTGTTCTTTGAAAGGCACCATTAAGAAAGTGAATAAGCATGACAGAGAGGGAGACAGAAATAAGATACAAATATTCCCTGGAGAGCTCTCATCCAGCATAACACACTCCCATGAGTCGTGAGGAATAGGCAGGTGGTCCCGTAGAAAACAGGCAAATGCATCAGACAGACACCTTACAAAGAAAAGACACCAACAGCCAAAGGCCTCATTGTTGTCAAAGAATGCAGACTGAAACTTCAAACACTACCACTCTGGGCACACGGCAAAGACAAACAGACCAGGTGTGGCTGTAATGTGGAGCAAGAGAGCCCACATGGCCAATAGTGGGCATGAATCCCGCAGGCATTTTGGAAAACTGCAGGACAGCATCCCCTAACATCAAATAAGCACCTACGCTGGCCCCAATTCCTCTCCTGCAGGTGTGAACAGTATAGGCGCTCGAGAATGTCCAGACCAGCACTAATTGTAATATTTGGCAACAACTCAAATATCCATCTACAGTGACCAGGCTGAATACAGTGTAGAAGTCCACACGGCAGGCTGCTCCATGGAGCTGTGACCATATGATGTATGCTATTAGACCCAGACCTCAGGCACTCTGGGTTTGTGGCTCCTGGTGCAAAGTGCCCAGATGCAAGGTAGGCTAGGTGGAGTCAGGACCATGTCCAGGCCAGTGTTCAACCTGGTTCTGGGCCACCTTTGCACTCGCTGTCTGCAAACCGACCACTGCTCTGTCGTGAGATGTGCACTTTCTGCACAGTTGTGTGTAACTCGAACAAGAGCTGAGCCTGAGTGAGGCCCCGTGTGACACCACCTCCCTCCATCCTCCCAAGCCCCCACCCCTGTCCTACCTCACTTGCTGCCTCTCTCTGTCTCTCCATCTCACTCAGATGACCAATGCCACCCTGCAGGGCCCTCCCTGCCTTCTATAATGCATCACTCTCAGAAATAATCTCAGTCCCCATTTGCTCAGGTTTTGATGTCCAGCCCCCACTTCCTCATGTCCCCAAGCTGGAGGAGGCTGCAGGGGGTTGTTGGGAGGGTGGGTATTGGGACCTGGCTCTGTGGGGGTGGGGGGCATGGTAGCACTTTGGGACCCGGCTCTGCACAGGTGTATGGCCATAGGCAAGGTGATTATCCCCTGTGCCTGCCATATTCATTATATAAGGCACTTGACTGCTGACCAGAAGGCTGCTGGTTCAAACCCACCAGCCACTCCTCGGAAGGAAGGTTGGGCAATCTACTTCTGTAGAGATACTGCCTCAGAAACCCAAGGAGGGGTCACTATGAGTTGAATTGGCTCAACAGCAGTGAGGAGGTTTGTTTTTTTTTTTTTTTTTGAGAACCACCTCTTGGGGCAGAAGCATGACCCCTTCCTCTCTGCCTAGCTCAGTTTCACCAGGCTGGCAGTTTGTAGGAAAAGGAAGTGGCTATAGGAGGATGAATGAGGAGAAAGGGATTGTAAATGCAGAAGGAGGTACAGGAGGAAGAGGAGGGGGTGCAGGAGGAGGAGGAAGGGGCTATAGGATGAGGAAAGGGCTGTATGAGTGGCAGGAGGGGGCTATCAGGGAAAGGAAGGAAGAGGAATTGGATCTGGACCTCCAGCCTGAGAAGGTAGGCCCTTGAGGCTGAGGTTACTGGGCATTGGTTGCTAGCTGGCCGTTGTCCTCCCTCAGCCCCTCAGCCTGTGCCAGCACCAGATCCAGCTTCATGGGGAGGTGTCCCTCACATATCTGCAGACTCCTCAAATGCCATCTATTTGTGGCCTGGAATCTAAGGGCAGCAGGAGATGTGTGTGACTGGTAGGATGGTTATTTTTGGCAGTGGGGGTGGGGCCTTCATTACAGCACCATGTCGCCTGGGACAGACTGAGCTCACACCCCCTCTCAACCCCACCAAGCTGCAGGGTCCCAGGTAGGACAAGGTTGGCCCTCATGCCCTTCATATGGGTCCTCTATGGTGGCAGCCCCCATAGAGACCTCCCCAAGGGTTGGATAGAAGAGTGAGGGTCAGTGGGTCAGGAAGTCATAGCCCTAGTCTTGAACCATCCCTTCTCAGGACTGTCCCTGCCAAAGTGACTGTCTAGCCAGGATATAGGGGTAGCAGCCCCAGAGGTTCAAGAGGCAGGGGCTTGGGCTCTCTGAGATGGGCAGGGGAGGGACCAGGTAGCTCGCAAGCCTGAGTGGATGCACAGACCCTGTGGAGGGCACTGGGGGCGTACCTGCATCCAGCGACTCCGGCCAGGTGTGCACGGGGTCATGGCCAGGTCTCGCCGCTGAGCCCTGCGCTAGCTCTGGCAACCCCAGCATGACCTTGGTGAGCTCAGAGGAAGCCTGGTGCAGGGCTATCCCAAATCAGCCTATCCCCACCAAGGCTGGAGGAAGGTCACGGAGGGTTGGTCACCTGCTGGACACCATGGCCCGCCTCCTTGGCCAGTAACCTCCTGGGGCATGCTGGGATAGGCCAGGGCTGGCTGGTTCCGGGAGCCCTTGGGGCAGACAGAGTCTCCTCGGAGGATGAGGACATGGGAAGCTGAACCCCTGAGCCGTGTAAAGACGTGCAGGAACTATGGGGTGACGGCGTCTCATTGGGAGAGGCCTCACTGCTGTAAAGGCTTGTCTGACATCAGGAACGCCATCTGGTCTGTATATACAATCACGCTGGGCTTCACTTGGAAACAGGCGGAGTGGGACTGGAAGATTTTCTAACTTGGAGGAAACAATCAAAAAGGTTTGGAAGAAACACATCCTTTCTGCTGGACTATCCCATTTTGCTGCTTTCCGGGGAGGGGATGGAGCACAGGTCTCCAGGCCAGGGACCTGGGAGGCAGCCACTGGAGCCCATGAGGAGGGGGCTACCTGCCGCCCTAGGCCAGGGTCCCTGACGCTCCTGTTCCCTCTCTACTGCTTCCTCCGGTGCCTGGCTGACTCAACATGGAAAACTTTCAGTACAGTGTTCAGCTGAGTGACCAGGACTGGGCTGAGTTCTCAGCCACTACTGATGAATGTGGCCTCCTGCACGCTGACCTGGCATCTGGGGACGAGCCCTTGTCCAGTGACATTGACCAAGGGGACAGCAGTGGCAGCAGTCCCCCCAGGCCCCCACTCCTCCTCACTGGGCAGCTGGCTCTGGGGGGGAGGAGCCAGCAGGGCCACAAGGAGGAGGAGGACAAGGACACCACCCAGCCGCTGGTCAGCAGGTGTGAGCCCATCCTGGCCCCAGGGGCTGGTCAGCAGACGCCCGGCACGTCCACAAGGTCAGCAGCCCAGCAGCCCCTCAGCTCTAGCGTCAGCTCTCCTGGCCACTCTACATCCCTCCTGGGGCCGGTGTTTTCAGAAGGCGAGATGCAGAGGCTTCTGCAGGGCCCAGCCCCCCGTGGCTCTGCCCCTGGGCCCCCCGGTGAGCCCCCTCAGAGCCAAGAACCCCCCCAAAAGCCCCCTAACAGCCCTGGGCCCCCCTTGCGGAACCCTAGTAGGAAGAAGAGGCGCACAGCAGGTGCCAAGGGGGGTGGGCACCTGGGAACTCCAACCCAGCTGGACTCCCCACTGCCCTCTGAGGCTAGGCCCCCACCCCTTGTGGCAGAGCCAGCCATAGGCACCAGGCCGGAGCCAGACTCTGGGCTGGCTCTCGAGGCTGGCACTGGCACCCTGACTACAGCTCCCCAATGTCGACCAGGTTTGGGGCTGACCACACCTGCACTCAAGAGTGAGCGAGGTGCAGACCAGGTCAGAACAGCCCCCAGACCTGAGGTGCACTCGGTGTACACCTCCAACTCCGAGCCACCCCCCAACGGGGCTCCATCTGCCCTCGACTCTCAGCCGCCACCTGATGGGGCTCTGTCTACCCCTGACTTTGAGCCACCCCCCAACGGGGCTCCGTCTGCCCTCGACTCCCAGCCGCCACCTGACGGAGCTCTGTCTACACCTGACTCCGAGCCACCCCCCAGTGGCGCTCTGTCTATGCCCAACTCCCAGCCTCTACCCCACAAGGCTCCGTCTACACCCGACTCTAAGCCACTTCCCAGTGGGGCTCCATCTATACCTGACTCCCAGCCTCCACCGGATGGGATTCTGTCTGCCCCTGTCTCCAAGCCTAGGCTGGATGCCAATCTGCCTACGCTGGTCCCAATGGTCAAGCCACATGTGGACCCATCTACACCTGCCTCAGTGGCTACCCCACCTTCGGCTCTGCCTCACCCCATTCCCCAAGTCAAGTCTGGTGTAGACATAATGGGCACACCAGCCCTCACAGCGTCCACTGATGCCCCGTCCTGGTCCTCCATCCCTGAGGCCCTACCTGGTGTGGGGAAGCCTGAATCTGCAGCTGGGCGAAGTGAGATCCTTGCTGTGCCCCTGACCGGGCCTGAGCCCTCAACAGAAACCCCTGGGCATCTCTCAGGGGAGCCCCCCACAGGCCTCACTCAGGCTCCCAAGAGGAAGAAAGTGCGATTCTCCATGGCTGTGGCTAGTAGCCCCAAGGAGCCAGAGCTCAGGGCCACCCCAGGCCCACCCTCGCCAGCAAGGTTGGCAGCAGGAGCCCGGGCAGTGCCAGGGGCCTGGGACGCTGTGGCAGTCAAGCCCCGGCCACCCCAGCCTCGAATCCTCAAGCACCTGCCTCCCCCTGCCTCTTCCGCCTCACGGGGCCCCAGGTCAGGGGACTTTGCCCTGACCCTCCCCGAGGCCTATGAGTTTTTGTTTTGTGACACCATTGAGGAAGAGGAGGAGGATGCTGAGGAGGGGCTAGCTGAGCCGGCCCCAGAGGATGTGCAGTGGCCGGACGTCTGTGAGTTCTTCTTCTGGGACCGTGGGGCCCAGAGGCCAAGATCACGTGGGGGCCAGACCCAAGCCCCCTGCCAGCCTGCCGAGCCTGCACCAGCCCTTCCACCTGGAGACCCTGTACCCATTTCTGTCCCTGAGGCCTACGAGTACTTCCTTGGGGAGGAGGAGTGGGGGTGTATGCTGGATCTGGCCCCCCCACCTGAGCCCAGTGTGGTCACTGAAGAGGAGCTTGGCCTGGTGGTTAGGCGTGCAGGTGAGTGCCAGGAGGTCCCATGGCCAGGTCCCAGGAACACACTGTCCGGAGAGCTCAGCCAGGAGGGTGGCTGGGGAGGGGCTGGGCAGGACCCAGAGGGGCAGCAGGATTCAGGTCCTGAGCTGGGGAGGGGCTGTGACCATTGCAGAAGGAAGGGCAGTTCCTGGCCGCCCTAGGACCGGGGCCTTCAAAGGGGACTATTCTAACTCAGGCATAGCATGTTCACTCTCACGTGCCTGATCTGTCACCTCTGGAAGGCATTTATTAGGAAGTTTCATAGAGGGACCTCCCCAGGTCACCCTGACTTAAATATGCACATGCCACCCAGGTCTTAGGACATGTCACAAGGAAGATTTGACTCAAGAGAAATGTATTGGGGACAGATGTGACTCAGAATAGACATGTTTGGGACAGATGTGACTCAGGACAGATGTGTTGGGGACAGACGTGATTTGGGATAGACATCTTAGGGACAGGAGTGTCAGAGACAGGTGTCTTGGGGATGGATGTGCCCAGCGCAGGTGTGCCTCTGAGCAGAGCAGCCGGAGCAGGTGCTTCTTTATCCTAGGGGAGCCCTGGAGTCCCCTCCCTGTGTTCACCTTCAGCCAGCGTGACATGTGCTTAGTGTTTGTGGCCTTTGCTACGTGGGCTGTGAGGACGTCAGATCTGCACACCCCAGATGCCTGGAAAACAGGTTTGGGGGCCCTTGGAAAAGGGAGGGGGCTGGTGCCCGGAAGTCAGAGGAGGCCTCAGCTGGTGTGCCCAGCAGGGGGTAGGGGCAGGTGAGACAAGCGTTCTAGGTTTCTCCCCTGAACTTGCTCCTCCCCCTGCTAAACTGCTCTGACCCTTTGAGGGAGGAAACACGTGGGCAGAAAGGGGATACCCAAACTCCAGCCAGCGCTTAGGGGCTTGGCGCTTCTCTTGCAGTCTTGCTGGCCAACATTGGCACCATTTCTGCCATCCGGTACTTCCGCCGGCAGGTGGCACGGGGACGCACCAGCCGCAGCCGCAGCCCCAGCCCCAGCCGCAGCCCCAGCCCCAGCCCCAGCCCCAGCTCCTAGGAGTCAGGCCTTGCCCAGGAAGACAGCAAGATCAGGAGCTGGCCACAGGGGCCAGGACGACAGCGCTGCCCTTCGGCCCTTGATCCCATCTCCCACATGGTCAAGATGTCCAGGTGGAAACCGACGTCCTGGTCCTGGACCCCAACTCCACCAGAAGGTCCAGTCAGTGACCAAAGGCCAAGGCTCCCTCTCAACCCACCTGGGGGGGGGTAGGTTCTAAAGCAGGTAGCTGCGTGGTGGAGTGGTCAGTTGATTCAGCAAATGACAGGTGTCCAGCAGAGTGTGAATTTCAGGCATGTAGTGGTAGAAGGTACTTACAACAGAAAGTGACCTGCTGCTTAGCTATACTCTACTCGGCAACCCCAAGCCAAGGGGCAGGCAGGACAGGGTCATAGCAGCAGCAAGGACCCGGCAGGAAGTCTAGCAGGGAGGGAAGGTGGGAGGCTGGGGACCCAAGGCCAGAGGTGTTCTGGGACTCCTTGCCCTGCTCCCAGGTGGGGAGTTTGGTGAGAACCTCCAATGTTGCTCCGAGTCCTGAGCGCTGTGGCAAAGGCACTTAAGAGGGCAAGAGATGGCAGGCAGCCCCTGCAGGGCAGGGGTCTGTAGGGCAGAGCCTCAGCTCAACCTTGGGGCTCAACCCTAGGTGGAGCGTTCAGAGGCAGATGCAGGTAAATGGGTGGGGGCTGGGCATGTGGGATTGTCCCAGGGCTCCCACAGGTGGGGTGACATGGTGGTGACTGAGGAGTGTGAGGAGGGGCAGAGTGGTTGGGGACTGGGCTCAATGGGCACCCTGTGATCAGGGGGCATAGGGGCCCATGGACTTGGGGCTCCAATGACGGGGTTGAGAGGGGAACGTGTGGACACACAGAGAACCAATAAAATCTCCTTTTCTTTCTTTCTTTCTTGTTTAGTGGCACCAGTCTCTCCCAACAGTCCTACCCCAATTCACATAGGCCCAAGTGAAACCGGGACCCCCAACCTCCCTGGTGCTATACTCTCACCCATCCACCTGGGATGTCTTGACCTCGCTGACCTCTGACCCTCACATCCTCTCACATATGCCCTCTGACCTCACATACGCTGACTCTCACTGACTTGACTTTCCTAGCCTTCTGACCCTCACACCAGTGCTTCCTTCTGCCCCTAGGTGAAGCCCCCATCAACTCCCCTTCCCTATTCCTTCCTGGGGGCAGGACTGAGGGACTGCCCTGAGGAGCCTCCTGATCTGTGGTCTGGCCACACTACCTAGGACAACCCTGATGACCAGCCCCCCTCCCAGCCCCTCCAGCTGCTGGAGACCCCCAAGAGCCAGAGTCCAGAGGTGGAGCCCCAGGGTCCAGACCCTGGTCCAGAATTTAACGGGTCAAAGGGCACACGGTTGGTCAGCCGTGTGCCCCTCAGAGATAGACCCAGGCCCAGTGGCAAACACCCTCCAGGCCCGCCCACAGCCCCAGCACTGTGACGCTGTCAGATCCACTGGGTCAGGGCTCCTTCGGCCTCAGGTGCACCTGGCCGGGGCCACTTCTGGCGGGAGGGCGATGTGGCCTCATCCCAGACACTGTTGTAGCTTGGACCTGCATGCCTCCGGGAGGAGCAGCTGGCTGGTAGATGGAGATGTGTTGGTGGGGAGGCTCAGGGATCCTGAGCATCCCAGCCCCAGGGAGAGGCAAGGCCCTTACTCACCTGGGGGAGGTGGCAGGGGGTCAGGTGAACTTTCCCTCGAAGTGGAGACCTGGGGACCGCAAATAGCCAGTTTAAGCCTGGGATTCCAGCCTCAAAGCCAGCCAAGTCCCTGGCCAAGCCCATGGGGAAGGGAGCTAGGAGAGGCCTAGGGGCAGGCTCACTCTTCCAATCTGACAGACCTTCCTGAGCCTTCTGCTCTATCTCCTCCCTTCCCTATCCTCTAGACTCCTTTCCCCATCTCTGACGTCCTTTCTGCTCCTTGTCTCTGGCACCCCATCTCCACCCATAATGTCTCTCCTACTCCATTGGGCTATGGAAGAAGCCCACTAGACCCCTCTCCTACACTACCCCTCCCCCACACCACTTTCCCTCATGCCCCACCCCACCCGACCCCAAGACCATTCCCTCTTGCACCACCCTCAAGTCAGGCTGGGGGCTGCTACTTACAAGCTTAGGGGAATCTGGAGGCCTTGGCCCCCTGCCCTTGAAGGAACTTCGGTGTCTCTGAGAGTTACGACCCTGCGGGGCTCCCTTCTTGGGCAGCAGGTAGGGGCCAGGAGAGCCAGAAGGGCCAGGGCTGGGGTCAGAGACAGGCACAGACACAGGGACAGCTGGGAAGGCACTCGATGCTTCTGGCCCAGAGGAGCTTTGCATGGCGCTGAGGAACTGCCAGGAAAGCCTGGGTGACCAGAGGGCCAGAGACCCTCCTTGGGCTCCTCCTATCATGGCCCTAGCAGACCACAGGCTTCTGGACTTCAGGCCAGGAGCACACCCCAGACCCCAGACCAGGGACAATACCCAGACTTTAGGCTTTGAGCACACTCTAAACCTCAGGCTGCAGGCACCACTCAGCTCTTTCTCACTCAGTAGGGGACTGACCTCATCCAGGCCCCGAACATCTGTGATCTTGTGGTGGGAGGTGGCAGGTGGGGTGTAGGGATCAGCATAGAGTGGGGAGTGTGGTGTCTCCCCAGGGTCGTCTGGGTCTCCTTCTAGGCTCAGCCTGCTCAGCTGTAATGAAGATGACAGAAGAGAGGGTCCCTTGATCTGGAAGGGGCCCAAGTGCTCCCTTCTCTGTAACATGCCTCTGGAAGACCCAGAGAAGCAGAGGCTGGGGAGCCATAGAGAGGGAGAGCCAGGCTGGGCTTGGGACACTAGGCCCACCTTGGTCAGGTCCAGGTCTAAATGTAGCGGAGCGGATGGGACGGGCCCCTCTCCCTGGGCCTTTCTCTTGGGTGACCTGCTGCTGCCCCCTCGTCTCAGCTCTGACCTCCGGGGGCTGATGCTGGCGTAGCCTGGATCAGCCTGGTCCTGTGGGAATTAAGAACCTTCCAGAAAGTTCCCCCCATGCCCTTTTCCCACACAACCCTCTGAGGTTGCATGGAGCTCCCTCTGGTTGGGTCCCTCCCCTGAGAAACCAGGTTCCAGGCTCTCTGGACAGAGTGCTGGGGGACCCAGGCTCCCCATCATATTTGCTGTGGCCTCCTGCCCCCAGCGTACTCACGGGTCCAGGCTGGGCAGGGCAGCCTGCAGGGGGTGGTGGCAGCGTGGACTCAGGGAGGGAGTGACTGGTGCGAGTGGAGGGGGGTGCCAGGCACCCAGAGCCCCAGCTAGTCCGTCCATCCGAGGAGAGAGAGCCTCGGCCGCCATGTACAACCTGGGCAGCCAGGGGGTGAGCTGGGTGGCCAGCCATTCTCCCGCCTACCCATGCCTGGACCTATCCTTCTGTCCCCGTTTTTACCACTCCTGGGGCCTGAGCCGTACGGGACTCTGGGCTGCCACTGGCCCATCTTTCCAGCCAACCCTGACACCTGCGAGGGCCTCTCACCTGTGTGGGTATCTGCGGCACTGGCCCTGGCAGGGCAGGACCCCCTTCCCTGAGGGCAGCAGTCCGGAGACAGAGCACCCAGTGGCCATAGTCCTCATAGCTGGCACACACCACACGGATAGTGTTGATAAAGCGGCCTGAACACAGATATGCATGAGGCAGGGGGTCCCAGAGTCCAGAAGGCCACATCCCCCTTCTAAAAGGCCCACCAATTAGGGACAGGGGCAGGGGTCTGGGGTCAGCCCCACCTTCAATCAGGAAAGAGCGGATCTGCTTCCCCTTCTCCTCTAGGTTGATGTGAATGGCGCTGAGTGGGAGCTCCCCCTGAGGGTCAAACAAGGTTGGCATCAGTCCCCTCCCTCTGTACGGCCCATCTCTCCATTCTGCCCTCCAGAATAGATGAGGAGATAGGGGGATGAGGTTGCTGGAAGGTGTTCCAAGGACTCAACAGGCTGGGAGGGCCTCCACAGGGGGCAAAGCAGGGCCAGCAAAAGAGGCTGACCCCTGAGGGAGACCAGTGACTCCAGGTCTGTCTTAGAGGTATCTTCACCAGCCTCTGGGGGCCTTGTCAGCTAAGAGCAGACAGAGTGCTGTTGCAGTCCCCTCAATCACCTTCACTGTTTTCATGACGGGATAAGCCCCACCCCATCTTTGTGTGTGTGTTTCTGTGACTGGAGAACTTGGTCCCCCACTGGGAGAAAAGGTCACAGTGTGTCCACACACAGACACATTCAGATTCCAGAAAATAGGCTTGCACACACACACAGGATTGCATGCACATACACACACATGCATATATACAGACTGTGTACACACACAGGCATGCACACATACACACACATGGGAATACATCTACAGGATCACATACAGGATCACATATGCATGCATGCACGCGGGTCACATACATGCATGCACTATGTACAAATAGGCATGCATACATGCACACACATGAGATCATATATGCATGGACAGGGGTCACATACATGCACACATGGGGCTGTGCCCACACAAACATGAGCACATTGGATTGTACATGTTTACATACACACAAAATCCACACATTTGCATACATATACATGGAATCACATGTATGCACTTATGCACACACAAGATCACACGTATACCTGCATACACATGCACAGTATCACATGTGTATTTACATACAGAACCACACATGCACATACAATATTACACACACGTGCACTCACACATGGGATCACACATGCACATAGCATCAGACATGCACACACAAACTGAATCACACACAAACATACCAGCACAGACACGGCTCACATGTGGAATCGCACACATGGGATCCCACATGCATACACAGGGGATCACACGCACACATGTACACCCTCAGGTGCACACAGGCTCAGCTGACTCTCAGAAAAGGGAGATGGTCTCTCATGACCCTTAGGGGGGTGGTACCAGGAGCTGGGACACAGTCTGGCTGGTCACTAAGGATCTTCCCTAGGACGACACAGGTGCCCAGGGCAGGGGCTCCTCTGTGCCCATGTCTGGGCTGAGACCAGACTGACCAGGGCAGCGGGGCAGGGCGGGCGGGGCCAGCATGCTCTGTCCCAACAGGCCCTGAAATACAGGTTCCTCCTGAGTCGCGGCCCCCTCCCACTCCCACACAAAAGGCACCTCCCTGGGCAGATCGCCAGAGAGGGGAGGGGCCCACCTTGAAGGAAAGCCCATCTGGTTCCTCAGAGAAGATGGCCAGGGAGGTCGGGTACAGGACCAGGAGCCGGTCACACAACTCCTGTGAGCAGGAAACAGAGGGCAGGACTGGAGTTGCCTGGCATCTAGGGCCAGACCATCTGCCCTGCCCCCTGCCCTCCAGGGCCCTCGTGTCCCCTCCCTCCACCCCTTCCACCCCCTCAAGGTCCTCACATCTCTCTCCCAGCCCCCTCTCATCCTGCCTGCCCACCTGTGAGGGCAGATGCTGCAGCTTGACTCTTGAGGCACAGATGGCACTGCCTCCTGCCTCATGTCCCGACACTGTCCGCAGCCGCGTCAGCCGTCGCTGTAGAGTCCAGGGCAGCTCATCCCCGGTGGGGCCCTGGCAAAGGGGGGTTTAGAACAGGCCGAGGAGGGGGGTTGGGGTGGGGTAGGAACGGTGGTTGGGCACTGACCTGGGGGGGCTCCGAGTGGCAACGCCGCAGCCCCCCAGCAAGGGCCATCTGCTTCTCCAGGTGGTAGAGCCAGCGGGTGCGCTCAGGGGCGCTGGGGCAGAGCACCAGCAGGGGGGCGGGCAGTGGGCCTGCAGCAGGTGAGCAGGTGGTAGGCCAAAAGTGTCAGGCCTCAGGAAAGGTGGGGGCCCAGGTGGAGAGGTAGCCAACCACAGCTCTGGAGGTCCCCAGACCTGCTGCCCTTCCACATGAGCCCAGCCCACCTGCCTGCTTGCCTGCATGCCTAGCAGAGGCCAAGGGCCGCCCAGGACCCCAGTCAACATGCCCAGGGCTGCTGTCGGCCTGTGGGGCTTGGCGCATGTCCCTGGTGGGACACCAAGAGCACTGAGTAGCCCTGTGTGGGTCAGTGTAGTCTGCACTGCGGGAGGGGAGGCACCACAGGCAGGGTGGAGAGCTCCCGCCATGCTGACTTCATGTTGCCCACCTGTGATCTGGAAGGCATGCTCTCTGGACCCCTCTATTGGGCAGACACGAAGGTCCATCAGTGGTAACAGCCCCTGCCAGGACATGGAGGGGTGAGGAGGAAGGGTCTCTGGAGGCCACGTGGGCCTGGCAACCCATCTCCCTGAGCAGCGGCTTTCTTGCATCTTCCCTTATCCCGATTCTTAGGTGTCCATGGAGCAGCTTGCCCCCCAGTCTATCCTTCCCTTCACCTGGAATGTGAGGCCATCAGAGCCGTGGGCCTGGAAGTAGAGGTGGGAAGGGAAGAGCTCCAGGTAGCAGTCGCTGGTGTCCTGAGGGGAGAGCAGGTGGTCTAAGGGTCCAGGAGGCAGCAGGAGGCTGGTCCCAAGGATGCCCCACTGGCTAGGCCCCCACCTGGCTGTTCTGGAACCGCAGCTGGACCTTGGCATAGTATAGGACTTTGCCCAGGTTCCTCACGGGCACCCTCCGCCGTCCTTTCTTGAAAACACTCAGGAATGGCTGGTCCATGGCTTCTCGTTGGCTCTCTAGGCCTGGGATGTCCTGGGGTGGGGGCACATCTCAGGGGCAGCAGCCCACCCTAGGCCGAGGCCTGTGGCTGAGGCCCATGTGTGTCCTAGGGCCTGTAATGGGCCTGGTGACATGTTCATCTGCACCAGCGGGGCCGGAGCCATCAGCATCTCACAGACCTCTCCCTCAACTGACTGTCTCAGGACTTGCCACTGGCTGGGCCCTGACCTAGATGCTGGGACAGACCCGTCTCCCTTCCTGGTGGGATGAGACTAGCATGACTTTAGGCAGTAAGAAGCTAGTTAGAAAAGGGGAGGGGGGTGGCTTGGAGATGTAGGGGACTTGAGTTTGGACAGGGTCAGTGGCAGCTTCGGTAAAAAGGTCACAGTGCACACACAGAGGGCATGACGAGAACATGGACACACAGACCAGTCCACATAGAGCTGTCACACGTGCAAGCTGCTTTGACGATCTCTAGGACAGGCAGACACACGTGGGGTCAGTCACATCACCCTTTCTCCCACACACATGCTCACAACTTCACACATAGCCATTCCCACACACACTCACATACACAGACACACACATCAACAAAGACACACACACACACAGTGAAGTGAACTAGTAGTCAAAAGTTTTGGGGTGTTTGGGTGAGATGGTGCTCAAACCCTCATGTTTCCAGTGTGGGCTGATAAAGTTAATACTCGATTCTGCCCCTTCCCCCAAAAATGGCCCTGGTTTCCAGCATTTGCCGATTTCTGTGGTATTCCCACCTTTTCAAGCTACTAAAATGATTTCCATGAACGTGGACCTGGAAGACACGTATGTGTCCAGTCAGCTCTCTGGTGCCAGCCATGGTGAGTGGCTCTCACACTCCACACAGTTCCCTCACCTCCCTCAAGGTAAAACCCAAAGTCCTCATCATGGCCTGGGGGGGGGGGGTCATGAAGGACCTTACCTCCCTTACACCAGCACAAGGCGGCCTTAGGGCCTTTGCACTCACTGTTGCTTCTGCCTGGCTTTGCTCTGAGGCACCTTCCACAGCCTGTTCTTCCTTCATTTGTCTCCTTAACCCACTGCCATCGAGTCGATTCTGACTCATACAGACCCTTCAGGACAGGATAGAACTGTCCCATAACGTTTCCAAGGCTGTAAATCTTTACAGAAGCAGACTGCCTCATCTTTCTCTTACAGAGTAGCTGGTAGGTTTGAACTGCCAACCTTTTGGTTAGCAGCCAAATGCTTTAACCACTATGCCACCACAGCTCCTTTACTGTTCTCCTTAGCATTGACCAAAGCTAGCTTGCTACGTCTTCTACTTATTTGTCATCTACGTCTGTGCCATGAGGACAGGGGTCTTAGTCTCCTTTGTTCATTGCTGAGTTTCCAGGGCATAGGTCAGAGCCTGGGACATACTGGGGTTCCATTCTGTTACTGAAGGAGGGAGGGGAATGAGGAGGGATGAGAGAGAGGGATGGGGGCCCATGTCCATCCAGCATCCTGCACATAGACTGCTACATAAATGGGTTCTGACCATCACACTGAGAAGCACAGGGCCAAAGCTGGCCTGCACGGGGCATGCCACACAGCTGCTGTCCTGGCCAAGTTGAGCCGCCCCTTGGGCAAGCCCAGGAATGTGAACAGACAGACACACAGCTTCCTCGGCCACCCTGCCCCTGGGTGGGGCCTCCACACCCACACCCAGTGTGGGAGCTGACGTCGGGCCAGGACACCAGAAATTAGGCCACAGAAGCAGGAACCCACCCACAGACCTGTCTGCCTGTCCACCTGCCGGGTTCAATGAGCTCGTTCCCCTCCAACCACCATGTCCTGGCAAGGGAGGTCTGGACATGGGGTGGGGGTCTGAGGCTGGCCACCAGGCAGTACCACAGCATCACATCATATCTCCATGGGTGCTTATGCCTGACCGAGGCCAGGACTACAGGGCAGCCCGATAGGAAAGGAGTTGCCCGAGCCACAGAATAAACAGGAGGTGGCAGGTGGTGGTGGTGGTGGTAGTAGTGGCTGAGAGAAGCCTCGACCCCTCCCCTGGACATTTCTAGGGTAAGAAATTGGGGGATCCTTTCCTTTATAGCCTGCCTCTTTCTGGCTAGGAACTCTTGCCTCTCTCCTCCTAGTGTCAGCCTGGGCCCCCCACAAGAAGCTGCAGTGAGGGGGTCTCTGTCAGCCCTGGAACCCCTAACCCTGTACCAGCCTGCCTGTAGGCATCTTTCCCTCTCCCTGGTGCTCAGCTAACCCTTAACCCCATAGAAGCTGGGCAAGGTGGTCTCCAGCTCCTCCTAGGAAGAAGTAGCCAGGCACATGCTTGGAAGCCCCTTCCTTATGGTGTGGCCTTGGGGTCCAGCTCTGTTTATAAAATGGGGTACAAGGGCAAGCCTATGGAACCCGGAGCCTGCTGAGTGTGAGGCAGCCGTGTCAGAGTAGGGAAGATGCCCTCTCATTGCCTCTGACCCCCCTTACTTTCTGAGTGAAGACGGGGCAAGCGTCACGGCGGCACCATGAACCTGGCGCCTGTGTCCAGAGCAGCAACATGGATTGTGGGTGCTTGCCTGCACGGGCGGGGGCAGGCCAGGCTGGCGGGCCACAGGTCTGGACGGTGGCTTGGGCGCTGTGGGACACTCCCGGCCCCGCCCGCTGGCCCGCCCCTTCCCGGTGCCGCTCACAGCACCCTGACTCAGTCGGCTGGTTTCGCTCTCCGCCAGACTCTCAGTGGATGAGGCCCAGCAGGCGGTTTCTGCCTCTATCAGTCTTTGGATGTGAACCCTTCTGGGCTAGCCCAGAGCCCCTGAGCTGAGCACACACACACACACACACAAACACAAACACACGGGTGAGGGCTGCGATACAGCCTCAATCAAGAGAACCACGGACCAAGCTCACCTCCACCCCCCAACCCCCATTCCCCTTCGTTATCCTGGGATGTAGTGGAGGATCTTGTCCCCATCTCTTCCCATGCTATACCCCTCCCTGCTCACCATCCCTGGGATGTAGTACAGGATCTTGTCAGCCATTGCATCCCCGTCAGGGCCAGCTTCGTTGCCAAACAGGCCAGCCAACCTCCTCGAGCCATCCTCTCTGGGGACCAGGAAGGAGGGCTCACAGCTTGGCAGGAGGTGTGTGGGGGAGGGGAGCCCCAGGACCCTCAACCCAGCACTGGTGGCCAGACCGGCCCCCTCCACCCCACCGCTCACCTGGTGCCCTTCAGCGAGGGCTTCCTGGAGAAGGAGGCACGGAGCCTCCGTGGGGCCTGGGGGACGCAGTGGCTGTTCCCCATGGGCTGTCTGGCAAGCAATGCCGGGTGCTCAGTCCTGAGCAGCTTCCACCTCCTGCAGCGGGTGGGGCCCAGGACTGGGATGTCCCGCCCAGCAAGCTGGTGAGGGTGGAGCTCATTCTGGGAGGGTTGGGCCTACCTGGGCCCTTCAGGTCTCTTGTCTACACGTGAGATGTTACTTGATCTGGACTAGAGCAAGGCCCACCTCAGCTTCCAGTGCACACCAGTGGCCACAAAGGCCAGGCCTCAGAACGGGACACGGGGGTGGGGGTGCTGTAAACCCATTGACCCTCATGAGTCCAGCGGCCTAGCGATCCCTGGAGAGCTTGGTGACCTTTGTGACCCACAAAGAGCCTGGTGACCCTCGTGACCCCCAATGATCCCTGGAGAGCTTGGTGACTCTCGTGACCCCCAGTGATCCCCAGAGAGCCTAGTGACCCCCATGATCCTCCTGAGTGAGCCCTGCAACCCCAGTGACTACTTGGTTAGCTAAATGAATCTGGTGACCCCCCCCAAGATCCCAGTGACCTCTGGGTGAGCACTGTGACCCCTGGTGGGTCAAGTCCTCTCCCAGTCCCCCCTCCTGAGCACACATCCTGTTTCCACCTAAATCCCCAGCCTCTGAGTCACTGGTGACTGCAGGCAGTGTGCGCACCCTTAGCCACTGGGGGAAGAGTGAGCCTCATGGGAAAGGAACAGAGAGCTGAAATTTCCCCCTCACCAACCACCTCTCCTGACCAGGCTCTACCATTACCCTCTGCCAAAGCCAGGGCCCCCAGGCTGCCTGATTCAGAATCCAGGAAGGAGACACCCCACCCCCCACCCTGCCCCAGGCCTGGGACCACAGGACAAAGGTCTCTGAAGCTGCTAATCTCTCTCCCCTATTGACAGGTCTCCTCTGTGAACAACACTCCCTCCAATGCCAGGATATCCCCCATGGACCTCTCCAAACAGACTCCTCCAGAATGAGGTGTGGAATGCAGATGCAGTCGGGGTCTCCTCCATAGACAACCCCTATGGAGACCCTGAGAATACCTCACAATGGGACTAGACTTGTCCTCCAGCCACACGGCTACCTAGGGACAGAAGCTCAGCCAGAGGCTGAGGAGTCCAAGACACTTGTTTATTATCTGAGTCAGTGCATATTGCTACGTTGGGTCTGTGCACACTGAGCACAGAGATGTGCACGTGGCTCCACTCAGTGCAGGCCCAGGAGACAGACATGGACACAGAGAGAAGCTCAGCCAGGAGGCAGGGGTCAGCACCTGCTCACACGAGCAGGACCCCATGCTTCCCAGCCTAGCTCGTGTGCAGCTGACCTGCCAGCTGCCCCACACTGGTCTCTCGGTCTGTGCCTCCAGGTCTGAGACCCTGGGGCAGCGGGTCTCCTCCCCCATGACCACTGTGCCCAAGGCCAGGAGTAAGTGGGAGGACAGCTTGGTCCCAGAGATGTGGGGCCCCAAACGGACAAACTGGTGGCTGTGGTGGTGCTTGCTGGGCAATAAATAGGTGAATGAATAAATAAACAGGGATGCACACAGAGAGATACCAACACAGAGACGTGGACAGAAGTGCCCAGAGTTCATGGTGGGGTGGCCAGAGACCCTGCCCCGCTTCGTGAGGGCGAGGGAGGGAGGAGCTGGGGCCACCCGGGGGGCTTAAGGCATCTAGGCGCCGGTGTGCGGCTCTGAGGGTCAGAGGCTCGTTGAGGACACGGACAGCGTCGGTGAGGAAGGCGGCGGGAAGTTGAGCAGCTCTAGCACGGCCACGCCCACACTGCTGCGCCGTGTGAACATGCAGGATGCGGCCACCCACTTGTTGGTGCGGGGGTTGTACTTCTCAATAGAGTTGAGGCTGGAGCTGCCGTCATTGCCCCCGACAGCGTACAGCCAGCCGTCCATGGCCACCAGGTCGTGTGTGCTCCTGGAGGGGGCCACAGGAGGGGCAGGTGAGTACTCAGCCAGGGGTGAGTCCACAGGGGTTGCCATCTATCTCTGGGAAGGCAGACTTGCTGTGAGGAGTGAGATAGCTCCCCCATAGACCCCCTTCATTGGGATCTCCATGGATACCACCCACAGCCCCCCCCCACCATGTGCCTGCAGACCTGCGAATATTCATGGGCGCCACGCTCTCCCAGGTGCTAGCCTTGGGGCTGAACCTCTCCACGGAGTTGAGGCAGCTTGTGCCGTCGTTGCCCCCGGCCACATAGAGCGCGCCCTCCAGCACAGCCACACCTGCCGAGCTGCGCCGGCTCAGCATGGAGGCCACAGGTGTCCACGCATTCACCTGCGGGTGGGGGGTGCTGGGCTGAGGGCCCGCCACCTCCCACAGTGCAGAACTCCAGGGTTGGAGGCAGCAATGGTGGGGTGGGTTCTTGAGGAGTGGTGGTTGGGGGTAACAGCAGTCAGGGGAGGTGGTCAGGGGCAGTGGTTGAGGGAAAAAGCAGTCCAGGGAATAGCAGTTGGGCCAGCCATTGGGAAGGGTGGTGGCTGAGGGAGATGGTGATGGTGACTAGAACGTGGTAGTCAGGGGCTGGTAATTTGTGTAGGGTGTACCACGCACCTGGGGCTCATATTTCTCCACAGTGGCCAGGTGTGACGAGCTATCATAGCCGCCCACAGCATATAGGCTCCCATCTGCATTGGAGGTATCTCTGAGTATATGCCATGTGCTGGGGCCCGAAAGGGAAGGAGGGTGGGCAGGGGTGGGTCACATGCCAGTGGTGAGTCACCTACCGAGTGTGGCCACACGCACATAGCGTCTCCGGGTGCTCATGGCGGCAATAGACGTCCATGATCCTGTCAGGGGGTCGTACCGCTCGGCACTGCAGACGATGGACCTGGCTGACCCTGGACGCAGGTGGGGGGGCCCGCCCAAGCCCAGGACTGGCCTTCTCAGTCCCATGGACCCAATCCCAGTGAAGCCCTGACCCCAAAGCCCCAGTGCCCACTGACCCTGGGGAGGGCCTGTCTGGGTCAGAGAGATAGGAAGGGCGCTGGGGGCCTCTCAGCTCCTGGTTGGCCATGACCCTGTCTGTGGACCTGAGCAGCCCTGGCCTAGCCTGCATACCTGTTGAGGCAGGAGGCCCCGTCGTAACCGCCGGTTGCGTAGAGCAACCCATGCAGTGGGGCCACACCCAGGCAGCTGCGCCTTGTGCCCATGGACACCTCAGGCTGCCACGTGTTGGTGACAGGGTCATACGATTCCACGGTGGCCAGGTCCGAGGTCCCGTCGTAGCTGGGGAGGGTCCCGCTGCTGTCAGAGCGAGCCCAGAAGGCACACGGCCGAACCCGACCCATGACCACGCTGTGCTTACCCGCCCACGGCATACAGCCGGTTGCTGATTGCTGCCACACCCACCCGGGCCCGACGTGTGGACATGGAAGCTACCACATGCCAACGATCAGTGCGCGTATCATAGGCCTCACAGTCCCCATGGATGGCAAACAGGCTCCCACCACCTGAGGACAGAAGAGGTGCCCAGTGGACACAATGGGGCTGGGGCTCTCATGCAGGGGTCTGATGGGGTGAGCTATGCAGCACTGGGTCATCCAGAGTTCTGGGGTAGAGATGGGGCAGGTGTGGGTGGGGCCGTGAAGAGTCCCAGCAGGCGCAGGGACATGGAGGATGTAAGGACAGAGAAAAAAAGGAATGTGATGGATATGGGATGGGCATGTGTCAGGTGCACACAGGGAGGTGGCAGTGTGGAGACGAATCATATCAGGTGCAGGGATGCGGTGGCCACAGGGATATATCTGGTGTGGGGAGATGTGGCAGTGACTCGGTAGGCATGGAGAGGACACTGAGCAGAAGGGACGCTGGGGGCGTGAGGATGTGGTGAGGATATGCAAGAAGATGACAGATGTGGGTGGGGATGTGGTGGGCACACGCAAGGAAGTAACACATGTGGGGTGGTGACAGGGGGGAAACATAGTGGGGACGTGGTGGGAATATGACAAGCACAAGTAGGGACGTGGTGGTCACAGAAAGAAACGTGTGGGGGGAACACGGTGGCTGCGGGCAGGAACGCTGCTAATACGGAGTGGAAGTGGAGCACAGACACAAGAGATGCTGTAGGCGTGAATGACATCGGAAGTGAGGATGCAGTGGTCATAGGAAAAGGTTTTGCAGGTGTAGTGACGTGGTAGGAACATAGCAGAAACAGTGGGCATGGGCATTGGTCGTACCCACGGCGAAGAGCACCGGGCCAGCACCCTCACATCGGCGTGGCCGTGTGCGGCTGGTGCCCAGGACACCCCTCTGCTCAGGCAGCAGGTGGAATTTGAGGGCCTCGATGAGCAGGTCCTTGCAGTCAGGATGGTGTCGCACCAGGCCTTCAGCATCCACATGGCCCAGCAGGAAGTCACGGCTCAGCAGGGGCAGACGCACACACTTCATCAGCTGCGGTAGGGAATGCCAGCTCAGGCAGGACCTGAAGACCCATAGCCTATCGCTGGGTTCCTCCGGAGAGCTCCCACACCTCTTCTCATGTGTCTGTACCATCCACACATATGTGGGCTGGCACCCAAACCCCTGAGCATAGAATACCCCCTACATGCATGGAGTATCGGGCACACTTGGCCCTTAGCTACATGCACCCCCTCCCAGTTGCCCAGGGCCAGCCTCACCCGTGGGACATGCTGCCTCCGTGTGTCCACATCATGCTTGACCCAGCTCAGGACGGCGCGGTAGACATCCTCCTCAGAGGGTACGTTCAGGCTGTCACTGGAGACCAGCTCCAGCACCTGGAGACGGGGCCTCAGGCTAGGCTGGGCTGGGGGAGGGGCTGAGGAGCCTTGAAGGTGCCCAGGAGGGAGCATCTGCCTGGCCAAGGGCCCAGTGCTCCTGGGGGAGGGGCCAAACAGTATCTGGAACCTCAGGTCCAGTTCCTGGGGCCCATGGACTTGGGAATGCAGGCACAGATCAGGGACAGAGCTGGGAGTCAAAGATTGGGGCCCGGGGTGGGGTCCAAGGCTGGCCAGTGGCGTTACCTGCTTCAGCGGCAGCAGCATGAACTCCTCGGTCTTGGCCACGTCCACGAAGTGCTGCAGCACGTACCTGTGGGCAGCCTTGAGCAGGTCACTGCAGGAGTGCGTGTCGGCGAAGCCCCGGATGCCCAGGCAGTTGGATGGGTCAAGCTGACTCAGCAGGAACTTGCAGCACGCATCGCGGACGCCGTTCAGCTGCAGGAGGCTGGCGGCCGGGAGCAGAGTCTGTGGGCGTGGGACAGAGATAAGGCGCACGGGAGGATTAGGGCACAGGGTGATGGGGCAAAAGATGGGGTGGGAGGGAGGCTACAACAATAGGACAGGAATAAGGGGAGCCAAGGAGGATGTAAGGAAAGGCCCAGAGGGCACAGGAGGTGCAAGGGGCGCACGGGGACCAGGACAGGGAGTCACGACGATACAAGGGGCTGGTGGTCTCACCTGCACGTTGCCCTCGCCCACCACAATCTCAGCCGTGTATGCAAACTGCACCAGCTGGTCCAGGGCCTGCGGGTCAATGTCATGCAACGTCACGTGCGTTTGTCGGCTCTCGCTCATCTCATCTGTGGGGACAGCAGATCACACACATCCTCACCCTGGGAAGCCCACTGATGCCCCTACAGCCCCTGAATGGCAGGCTGTATACTTACTTGTGAACATGGCATGGAAATAGGGGCTGCAGGAGGCCAGCACAACCTTGTGTGCCCGGATCTCCTTGGTTGCCACGTGCAGAACAATGTCACACAGGAGCCCACGCTGCCTCATTCGGCTCATGGCCACAAATGCATCGTGGTAGTGTCTCTTGGAGTTATGGGCCACACTGTGGCCCTCACGGCTCAGCAATTGCATCGCCCCCTCCATGGGGGCCGCCGGCCAGGGCTGTCGGGGACGCGCTCGCTCGGCCTCAGGGCTGCAGGGGGTGGCTGGTCAGGGAGCTCTGCCCATGGTCCTGTCACATCTGGGCAGAGCCCCCACTGGCCCAGGCTCCCATCAGGGCTCCTCAACACCTACCTCAATCCCTGCCCTGGCTCCCTCTGCTTCCCAGCCCTGCACCAGGCCTGGCCCTCCTGTCCAGGAGCCCACCTGGAGCCCCTGGACCCTGCCTCACAGCTGTCCTGGGTCAAGCCAAAGTCCCTCACGGACCTGATGTCTGGGCTGCTGAGCTGGATACCAGGCCCCCTCGGCCCAGGCCCCATCTTTAAGAACCAAATCTTTTTGAGTCTCTTGGAACTCTTTGTCCACTGTTGGCCACCCTATCTATCCCTACAAACCCACCAGCCCTTCTTGATAGGACTGGGTGTCCTCAGCACGAGCCAGGGGCACAGGGGAAAACACAAGGGGCAAAAGTGGTCAGTGCTCACTTAACAGCGCCCTGAACTAGATCCAGCCACGCTGCACCCCTGTTCTGCGAAGGAGTTGCCTGAGTCTCCATGCATCATGCTGCTGGGGTTCAAGGGCAGCTGGGAAGGGACAGAGCCTCGGGAGACTGCCAAGCTGGATGCAAGCCCAGATCCACCCAGTGTGCGGATGAATGGAAAGTCAACGGCTCAGATGTGCTGCCCCAGGCGTGAGGACCTGGTGGGGCCACGAGGGCAGCGGGGGGCAGTAGGAGATCCGGACCCTCCACAGAACGGGCTTTACCAGCGCAGGGCCTCCAGAGTTGAGTTGGCGCTCTGGGCCGCGCTCCTCCCTCCCTCCGGGCCAGGCCTCACGGACAGCGCCCAAGTCCCCTCTCAGCTACCCTGGTCACCTCTCCCACCCCCACCCCCACTCTGTCCTCGAGACCTCCTCTGGCTACTCCAGTGCCCCGAACTCTCGGGGCCCCTTCACGGCCACCCCGGTGCCCTCCGGCCCATGATGGCCCTCTCCTGGACCCCTGGCCCACTCACGCCGGCGGTTGCGGTGGCGGCGGCGGCGGCGGCGCCTCGGGTCCGGGCCCCGGGCTGCCGTGCTCCGGGCTCTGCGTCCTGCCTGCCGGGCGTTCGCTGCGCGGCTGCATGGGTTCGGCCGCCAGACCCGCTGAACCAGCAGACTGATGGACCAACAGAAGGATGCTGGAGGACTGCTCGGCGGTGGCGGCCCACTCCTTGCTCTCTCCCGCCGCCCGCCCTCAGCGCGCTGTTTCTCGGCGCCGCCCGCCCCGCCTCCAGGCTCCCCGGTAGCTTTAGGGACGCCACGTGGGATCGGGGTCCTCCCGACGTCTCCGCGCAGGCGCCCCGCCCGCGGCCACTCCTCCACGATCCCCCCTCTGCCCCCCGCCCCCGCTTGCTGGCCTCCTTCTCTTGAGACCACCCGCGTCGGCCGTGCCAGCTGATTTCCTCCTCCTGCAGTCCTCTGCCCCCCCCCCCCCCCTCCCCATTTAAGCGCCTCAGGCAGGACTTGATCATGTCAGAACCTCCTCAGAGGCGACCATAAGTAGGACTTAAGCCAGCTCTGGTCCTTCTTCACTCACTCGCTCCTAAGCTTTCTAAACTCCTGCAAGTATGGGGCCTCAGTTGGGCAGTTACTGCCTAGTGGGTGGAGGGGGCGCATGGGAGGGCCCTGCCCTGGGGCCTGCTCTGCAGAACTCCTGGGCTTGTTGGCTATCCTGTTGTGTCTGGTCCATCCGCCCACCATCGCTCTTCCCACCCTAAGGCCACTTGGTGGCCTCTGGGCCTTTGCACCTGCTGTTGGAACAGATAAGAGGAAAACCGGCCATTACTGCCCAGGCCTGTCTACCAGGGGCTTTCAGAGTTGAGGAAGGATGCTCACTGCAGGAAGCGCTCAGACGCGCCCGCCAGTCGGGCTGTTCAAGGGCTGCCAGTCCCCTCCTGCATAGTGCACCAGGCACTTCACATGGGTATGGCCTGGCCTTAGGCAGCATTTTTCGGTGACCTGTTTGTTTACCTCACTGCCGTTTGTTTCCCTTGTTTTCCTACTAGACTTTTGGCTTTTTATTACTGATTTGTGAGAGCTCTTTATATATTACTCTTAGTCGCACCTCCCCCGCCCCAGGTGACACCCGTCAATGCGCAGCACTAGCACTCCCGGGACCGTGCTTCCCGAGTCCTGGTCAAGTGGGGAGGTGGGCTAAGCTGGGCGGGCGTCTCGCCCCCATCGGCCTTGGGGTGGCACCATCGTTACCGCCCCTCGCAGGAAAGGACGTGCGGACAGGAGCTCGCGGAGTTGAGAGGCAAGTTAGAATTTGACCCAGGTGGTCCGGCAGGCCTCAGCCCCGTGTCCCGCACTCAGCGGGTGTGTGCGGATGCGGATGCCTAGAGATCGGTCCCAGGCCGACCTCGGGAGCCCCCGCTTGGCGCCGCGCCGCGGGCTATATCTAGGAAGCGAACACACCCTCCAGCCTGTAGCCTGCTGGCGTCAAGGTCCGAGAACCTCAGAGTCAATCGCGGGGGAGGGTGGGGGCGGAGTTGGGGGCGGGCCTGCCGGGAGGAAGTGCGGCAACGCACTGCACTCTGGGCCCGGAAGTGGGGCGCATGCTGCGGGCTGGCTGTCATGGCGGCGGCGCGGAGTCGGAAGAGGTGAGTTTTAGTCTGAGGGCCTGTTGGGCCCCCGGCGGCTGAGGTATACAGTGGGTCTTTCTTGGCCCCTTCCATGCTCCTGGGATAGCAGGGTAGGTACGAGCGGTGTTGGCGGGCGGCTGTGACTGCGACGTCTTGACCCACAGGCGCTTGGCGGAGCTGACGGTGGATGAGTTCCTGGCCTCGGGCTTTGATTCAGAGTCCGAATCGGAGCCTGAGGGTGCCCCGGGAGCGGAGGCGCGGACGGCGAAAGGAGATGCCCTGAGCTCGCATGAGCCGGGCGGGAGCCGTTCATCCAGGTAAGTGGGGCGCATTCTTTCTCGGAACGTGCGCAGGCGGGACCCTTTCGCTCAGACCCTCCTCGCCAGACCTCCCCTGGGGTCTTGGGGCTTAGGCCTGGGGACTTTTCATCCCTAACCCCAGTTGTTGTGGATTTTTCATTTCTTTATCTGCGATACAGAGTTCCTGTTCTGTGTTAAAATTCCCCCACCACCACCCCGCGGTGTTGGTATGTGTTATTAGATGATCTAAAGGTTCTACTTTAGGAAATACCGTTTAGTTTTAGGCCAGGGGCCAAATTGCAGTGTGCACTGGAGAGTGTTTTAGAGTGAAAAAAAATTTTTAAAAAAAAAGGGATTAAGAAGACTATGAAGTGTTCTAAGGGGCTGTGTAGTGTTAAACGTAAGAGGCTGTTCGAGAAGGTAAAATTCAAGTTCAGGTGTGAATAAGTTACATGAGCAAAGAGCATCCAAATGTTTCAGGTGAAGGGAACAGCAAGAGGCCATGGTAGCAGAGGGAGTGAGGAAGAGAGTAGGGGAGGTGAGCCCAGAGAGGTAAGGAGGGGCGAGGTCTTAGGTAGGTGGTAGTCAGGCCTTGGAAAACGGGAGGTTATTTTGGGATCTTGAGCAGAGAAGTAACATCACATCACACATAGCAGGAAAGGTTCTTTGGGTACTGCTGTGGAACAGAAGCAGTGAAACCTGCTTGGAGGCTGCTGTCATAGGTGAGGAGTGGTGGCAGTTTGAATGCAGTGACAGCACAGGAGGTACGAGAGAGCAGTTTAAGGACAACTCAGGCTTTTTTACTTGAGCACCTGTAAGGATGGGGTCGGCAAAAGCTGAGGTGTGGCAAGTGTGGACAGAACAAGTTTAGGGAACCCTTGAGTTTAGGACATGAGCGTGTGACTCATGTGATGTCAGAGAACACATGTGGTGGCGTCAGGAGGCTGTTAGATGTGTGAATCCAGAGTCAGGGAGACAGGTCAACTGAAACCTGCGTGGATTTGAATCCCTGAAAGCACCATTTCCCTTGGGCTGTTGGTGGTTGCTATGAGGGAGCCAATAGACCGATGTCGTAGGCTCTTAAGAGGCCAGCCAGCAAGCAGTGTGGTGCGGACATGAAGCGACCGAGCTAGCTGTGCCCACCCACTGGTCTTGCTGACACCCAGCCTTCTCAGCCGGCAGAAAGGTCGTGCCTCTGAGCACAAGGACCAGCTCTCTCGGCTGAAGGACAAGGACCCCGAGTTCTACAAATTCCTGCAGGAGAACGACCAGAGCCTGCTGAACTTCAGTGAGTCAGACACTTCTGAGGATGAAGAGGAGCAGTTCCACTCCTTGCCTGACACGCTGGAGGTGCGGGGGCCAGGCAGAACTGGGTGAGGTCATTTGCGGTCCCTCGTGGCCTCCCCTACCTTGGCCCTTCTCTGTCTGTGCAGGAAGCAAGTGAGGAGGAAGAAGATGGAGTGGAGGCTGGGGACAGAGTCCCCAGGGGACTCCAGGGGAAGAAGAGGGATTTGGTTCCTGTTACCCTCCCCATGGTTGAGCAATGGAAGCAGGCAGCAAAGGTGAGAAGTGGGGTGTGAACTGGGTCTTCTCACCAGAGGCAGGAGTGCGCACTTGGCTCCATTTGTCGGATGTGTCCAGAGCTGCACAGATGTGTCTCCTTGAAGGCACCCCTTCCTGAGGCATGGACAGCGCCAGGTTCTTCCTGTGTACAAGGCAGCCCCCAGCCCCAGGACTACATCTTCTTTGGCCTACCCCTTCCTCATTGAGGCTGCCTTCTTCATCTCCTCTTGGGTTCTTGTTGCCTGAAGGTTATTGAGGGTGGGACTTGATCTCTGTCTTTTGTTAATCTGAGGAGTGAGGGTTTTTTTGAGATGTTCATAGTGGTCTTGTCAGGGAAGACAGTGGGAAGAGAGAACCTGCCGTACCACCCAGGAGCCAGCCGTAGTCCAGGAGGCAGCCTCTGAGGCCCCTGCTCTCTTAGAGTATTCTGGGCTCTGGCTCAGTGACTCTGGCCCCCACATCTGCCCCTGTACCTGAGAATGTGGTTGGACCGATAATGTCTTTCTCAAAGCTGTTCTGGAATTTTGCTCACCTCACTGGGTCTTGTCATCTCTGTAGCATCACCTCACACCGAAGCTGTTCCACGAGGTGGTGCAGGCATTCCGAGCAGCTGTGGCCACCACCCAAGGAGACCAGGATGGCACCGAAGTCAGCAGATTCCAGATTACGGACAGTACAGGTAAGCTGGGTGAGGGTCCCAGGACCTAGGTCTTCTTATGTGTTCTGTGTTCTGAAAGTAAGAGTAGTGTCAGTGGCATTTGTAACCCACCCATCCCCACCCCTGCCTTGCAGTATTTAACGCCATAGTCACCTTCTGCATCAGAGATCTTTTCAGTTGCCTCCAGAAGCTGCTATTTGGCAAGGCCTCAAAAGATGGCACCAGGTGAGGGGGCTGGTGACCACCCAGGACGTGGGGTGGTAGGATGTGAAGGGGATGGAGCCAGGTTCTCTGGACCGTGGGGGTGGGGGACTAGGGGCATGCAGGACCGTGGGAGAAGTTGGGCTCTCAGGGCAAGTGGGGGAGGGCACCCTTTCTCAGGGCCAGTGGGGGAGGGCACCCCTTGCACACGGGTGGGTTGGGGGCGTTTCTCACTTCTGACCTTTGCCTCCCGTTTTCCCAGGCTAGACTCTGTTTTCTGTCCGATAGCTGAATCCCATCACTCTCCTCATCCCACATGGCTGGTGGTCTTAGGGAGCCTCCCAGATGGGGTCCACAAGCTGCTGCCAGTCTGTCTGCTTGAGGAGATGGGGGGGGTCACAGGCATGGGAGGGTCACAGGAGAGTTGCAGGTGCAGAGGATCACAAGCATGCTGGGTCTCTACAGGGGGACACCTTCCAGCAGCCCGCTGTGGGGGAAATTCCGGCTAGACATCAAGACCTACCTGAGCTCAGTCACACAGGTGTGATCGTGGTCGGGGGAGAGGGGGTCCCAGACAGGAAGTTGGGTTTGGGCCTCACTTTCCACTGTGCTGACTCCTAGCTGGCAAGCTGCCTGACTGAGGCGACGGTGGCAGCGGCCGTTCTCCAGCACATCAGCAGTGCGGTGCCCTATTACCTGACCTTCCCACAGCAGTGCCGCGTGCTGCTCAAGGTAGGCCGGTCTCTCTACCCCGACTCCCTACCTCCAGGTCCTGCTCCAGCCCCTCCCTATTGCATGTAAGACACCCCTGTTCCTCATCACCTTCTCCGCCCCCTCCTAGGGTGGCTTGGCTCCAGTGGCAGTTCCTAGCGTTCGTCAGAACCACCTAAGACTAGGTTATGTTATGAGATCATGAGCTGGCGTGTACATAGCTGCGTCACCGCGGCCTGCTCTTGTTGGGAGTGATGAGCTCTGTCCTGAGTTCCTCTTTTCCTCTGGCTAGTTTCTGACTGCTTATGGTTGCATCTGGGGCGCTTTGGAAGGTGCTTCCCCCAGGAGTAACCAGAGGCACTGCTGGCCCCAGGCAGGGGTCTGTTGCAAGTGAAGGAAAAGAGGGGCTGGCTTAGATGGAGAGCCTAGGTGGGCAGTGACACCCTGCCTTCCACAGAGGATGGTGGTCCTGTGGGGCACTGGTGAGGAGACTTTGCGCGTGCTGGCTTTCCTGATCCTCGTCAGAGTCTGCCGACATAAGAAGGACACCTTCCTGGGTCCCGTCCTCAAGGTAACACAGTGTAGCTGGTCTAGGTGAGGTCTCCTGGGACTGCCCAGGGTCCTCTTAAGGCCAGGGTAGATAATCTTAGCTGAGGGTGGCAAGCCTCCTATGTGGGTAGCGCCCTCATGGGGCCCCTGCTTGGGGCAGTCCCTGGCTCTCTGCACCATGGCCTCTTGGTGGCCTGGCTCCTGGGGGACTGTACAGAAGAAAGGGCTTACAGAAGATGCATTGGGCTGGCGTTGGGGCCCCATAGGGCCCTAGGAGCTCAGGACTGGCCTTGACAGGGTTCTTCCCACAGCAAATGTACATCACATACGTGAAGAACTGCAAGTTCACATCCCCTAGTGCCCTGCCCAGCATCACCTTCATGCAGCGCACCCTGACGGAGGTGCTTGCCCTGGACACTGGCATCGCCTACCAGCACGCCTTTCTCTATATCCGCCAGCTTGCCGTCCACCTGCGAAATGCCATGGCCATGAGGAAGAAGGTGTGGGCCGGCCGGCAGGTCACAAACACACTTGGGCATGGCCCTGGGTTGGGGGATGCAGGGTAGCACTCTACTATGAGCGGAGGCCCTGTGTGGCTTCTGGGCCCCTGCCTGCCCAGAGCTGGACTGGCTCTATTAGTTACGTGTCATCCTTATTACCAGGAAACGTACCAGTCTGTGTACAACTGGCAGTTCGTGCACTGCCTTCACCTATGGTGCCGTGTGCTGGGCACCCTTTGCCCCGGCGGGGCTCTCGAGCCCTTGATCTACCCCCTCGCACAGGTCATCATTGGCTCTATCAAGTGAGTTGGTGTCAGTGTATGTGGTTTTCATGAAAGTCAGGTTAAGGATTCATGAAATGTTCTAAAGGTTTACGGGTCAGGTTATTCTGAGCTCCCCGGGTGGTCTAGGTCAGTATTGCACAGAGTGTTTAGGAGGTTGGGGGACAGGGTTATACTAGGTATCATGGGTGGTCAAGGTCAGGGTTACATGGGTGTCCCTGGAGCCAAGCATCAGGATTATGACGGGTGTCCATGGTCAGGGTTACACAGAGTATCTGGTGCACCATAAAAGGTGAGTTCTCCGAGGGGGTTTGGTGTGTGGGTTTCAGTAGCCCCTGAGGAAGGGTTGAGGCAGCCACTCTGGTCCCCTGGGCCTATCATGGGAGGATGTTCCAGATGTCTTGTGGGCAGCTAGACCTGCCATCTGCTATGTGCCAGCTATTTTGGCTCCAGCCCCACAGGACAGCACCCATGTGTATCCTGGTGAGTCAGGGCTAAGGGTACAGCAGGGGCCCATGTGAGCCTGAGCCACCTGCAGGATGAGCTGTTGCCAAAGATAAATGTTTCATCAAAGCTTTGCCTTCAACATTATTGGGGGGAGAGGGGCTATGACCAGAGAATGTGTGGCAGGCAGCTCTGTGTGCCTGTCAGCCAGGAGAGGGCATCTGTGTCCCCTGGAAGGGTGCGGTGGGCTCCACCTAAGTGTGTAGGGGGTAGGTGCACCTGGAGAAGCTGAGTGAGGGGAGGCAGAGACTTGAAGAAGCTCCCTAATTAAAGTGAAATTGAGGTAGAAGCTGAGTCGGCCCCCTTTTGTCCTGCCCTGCAGAGGGATCCTTCTCTCACTGTCTCCTCTCACCCTAGGCTGGTCCCCACTGCCCGCTTCTACCCATTACGTCTGCACTGTGTTCGTGCCCTGACGTTGCTCTCGGAGAGCACGGGCACCTTCATCCCAGTGCTGCCTTTCCTCCTTGAGGTGAGTGAACCGTGAAGAGCAGGAGTAAGTGTGGCGGGAGGGAGAGGTACAGCAGCACCTCTGTCTGCTCCATGCACCTGTGAAGCTGTGCCCCTCGGCTTGTGCTGGGAGGTTCCAGGCTCCTCATCTGAGGACAGGAAACAGCCCTGGGGACTTCGTAAGTTTTGCAGAAACGTTGCCAGCTTGGTGCCTTGCTGCTTGCCCCAGCCAAGGGTACGTGTGGGGTGATGTCTGCCCTATGATGAACAGATCTTGGCTTTGCAGGCCCCCAGGTATCACTCAAAAGTCAGGACCAGCCAGGTTGATGGTTGTTTGCCCAGGGTCAGAGTTAGCGGTTGAACTTGGATGGAAACTCAGAGCTACCTTTCTCCTCTGCACAAGTGTGCCTGGGTGTTGTGTTTGCACATGTGTGAACCTGTGCCTGTGTACGTGTGCCTGTGTATATGTGGGGACTCATGTACGTGTGTATATGTGTTCATATGCTTTGTGTGTGTGTGTGTGTGTGTCTATATCTATATCTATGTATGAGGTGTCTATGCACGCATATATTTGTGTGTGGTTGGTGTGTGGCTGGAGTCCAAAGCCAGGGAGCCTAGGCTTGAGACCTGGCCAGCACATATTCAGGAATCCGTTGTACCTCCTCTTGAGGGAGAGGCCTCAGTGGTCGGGGCGTGGCCAGCAGGAGGCTGGGCCAGGGCTGTGGTCTGCTGCTCCAGTGCTGCTGAGTGGGGAAGGGGAAGGAGGTAGAGGAAACCCAGACTGCTCCTCACTGATTCTCCCAAGGGGAGCTGCTATGGTTTTGTGTGCTTTGGAAACGACATCCTTGCTGCTTGTGGCCTCTACGGGACCTCTGGCCACCTAGCCTTTCACCCTTGGCTTGGGACTCCCTTTGTAGCCCCCAGCCCCACCCCCACCCCTTACCAGTCTTTGTGTTTGTGTTCTGGGGGTCTATTTCTGTCTGTTCATCTCTGTCCACTGGAGACAAGTTGTGCACCTTGAGGTGTGGTGCAGTGGTAGCTTCCTGACTCCTTTGTTTGAAGGGGTCTGTCCCTGCTTCCCAGCTGTGTTGGGGGTAGATATTGGCTCTGGTTTGGTGGGTGCACCCCAGACAACGTTGCACACGACCAGCGGGCAAGAGGCTGGGCTCTGGGCGACTTGGGCACATAGGCTTCTCACCTTGGGTGCCTGCCCTGTGCTGAGGACTGACGACACTCAAGGTGGGGCACACCAGGCAGCAGCTGTGGTCTTGCCCAGGACAGTAGATGGTAGATAGCGGGGTGCTCATGCTGCTGGCCTGGCAGGTTTTCCAGCAGGTCAACTTCAACAAGAAGCCGGGACGCATGAGCTCCAAGCCCATCAACTTTGCTGTGATCCTGAAGTTGTCCAATGTCAACCTGCAGGAGAAGGCATACCTGGTGAGGCTGGCAGGGTAATGCCTGGGGTGCTGGCACCCTGCCACCCTGACACATACCCACAGAGACCCCGTCCTGATGCCCACCACACCCAGCCCTGCCGTACCTTCCCATCCTGACGTCCATCTCCTGCCCCGATGTGCTGCCCAGTTTGGATATACCCTCTTCTGACCTGATGCTCATCCTGACCTTCCCCTGCACCCTGACACCTGCCCTGATGTCCCACTGTCCTGCCCTGCCTTTTGCCCACCTGCTCTAATGTGCCCCTACCCCCAGGATGGCTTGCTGGAGCAGCTGTGTGACCTCACCCTGGAGTACCTGCAGGGCCAGGCCCATAGCATCGCTTTCCCAGAACTGGTGCTGCCCGCTGTCCTACAGGTCTGCACCCCTCCCCCGCTCCACCAACAGCATCCAAATGGTTCAGCCATTTCACTGGGCAGGGGGATGGGGTCCCAATGTGTGGGTGGGGGTGTCTTCCATGGAACACTTGGAATCTGGGGGCCTCCCAAGGGACTAGAGAAGCTGTGAGGGCTCTGCTGGAGGGCAAGACCTGACCTGCCTTTCTCAGGCAGTGTGGGCCCCCTCCCACATGGCTCTGGGAAGAGTGAGGAGCTAGGTCAGGAACTTAGCCAGCTCCACTCTATATCTGTATTAGCGTCACTTCCCTGTGGCGCTACAAGGCTAGGGCAGAGGTTCTCTTTCCTTTCTCTAGCCCTTCTCACCTCTTCCCCCACTCTGCCTCCCCTGGAGATGCCTTTGCTCACTCCAGGTGTTTCCTGTTTCAGGGAGTCCCACTCTGCTCCCTGGAAAGGGGTGCTGCTGTCCCTGGGGGGTCCTGGCAGGCTGCAGGCACTAACCCCAAGAATCAGAGGCCCTCTGGGGCGCTGCTGCCCACACCCATATTGCACATGCGGCTCAGAGACCCACATAGACACAGCTGTACACATGTGCATATATGAACAAGCAAAGCGCACACACACAGTTCTATATATACACATACAATGCGCTTATGTAATCATAGTTGTACATACAGCTGTGTATGCACACTATGTTGTTGTTGTTATGTGCTGTCGAGTCGGCCCCGACTCATAGCGACCCCTCCTTGGGTTTCCGAGGCAGTATCACTACGGAAGTAGGATTGCCCAACCTATAGTGACAATTATTCACACACTTAATATACAGACACAGTCGTATTTATATGCATTTACATACACGTACATACACACATACAAGCGAAAATCAAATTTACTGTCGTCGAGTCGTTTCTAACTCATAGTGACCCTTTCTTGGGTTTCTGGGGCGGTATCACTATGAGAGTACATTGCCCAGTCTTCCTTCCAGGGAGTTGCTGGTGGGTTTGAACTGCCAGCCTTCTGGTTAGCAGTCAGATGCCTTAGGCACTACACCACCAGAGCTCCCGTATACACATTTAGTCATGTCCGTGTTTACACAGTCTGACATAATGTGCATGAGGCTGGCGGCCTCAGCCTCAGTATCCTCTTGGCCAGCAATACCAGGAAGTGTGATGTTTCTGGGCTTGGGATCCCCAGGAACTGTGAGCAGACAGCATTGGTGGTTTTTTGGTAAAAGTCCAGCAGTGGGTCCTGCAGGCTCTGTGGCCATGGGCATTCTTACGACTGCTCAGCCCCCTCCCACAGCACAAGAGCAGCCCCAGACAGCACAAGAAAGAAAATTTCCAGGTCTTTTGGCCTGGATATGGATCTGCAATGCCCTCAGCTGCTCCTGGCCCAAGAAGGACCCTTGCCACACGTGTTCCCATCTGCAGCACCCACACGTACAAAATGCATGTGTACTTTGGGGTGGGACCTGTGTCCCATTTCCTGCAGACCCCTTCGGGGCTGGGGGCTGGGACACCTGGTGCTGGAGTTGGACTGATAGCCCTCCCCTTGCAGCTGAAGACCTTCCTGCGGGAGTGCAAGGTAGCCAACTACTGCCGGCAGGTGCGCCAGCTGCTTGAGAAGGTGCAGGAGAACATGGAGTATGTGCGCCGCCGCCGCCAGGCCAGTTCTTTTGGTGTATCCGACCAGCAGGCCGTGGTCAGTCCACAGATGGGAGGGTAGGGGCTCAGTCTCTTTGGCTCACTGAGGGTGGGTGTGACCTTGAGCTCCCCTATCCCCCAGGACGCCTGGGAGAAACAGACACAGGCGGAGGGGACCCCTCTTGCCAGTTACTACAGTCACTGGAGGAAGCTGCGAGACCGGGAGATCCAGCTGGAGATCAGCGGCAAAGAGCGGGTGTGCAGGGCTGGGGCCGAGTGGGCTTGGGTACCACAGCCATCTGGCCTGAGCTGGGTGTCTACTCTGGTGGCCGACTGACACTGAGCAGGCATTCCCCCTGCCCTCTGGTTCCCACATGGAGGATGGTTGGGATACCTTGAGCAGGGCCAGGTGAGGCAGGAAATCACCTGCCACAGCCACCCTGGTGTTTGTGAGTGGGTGGGTGACAAAGCAGAGACTGGCCATCAAGCCTGTAGAGGGGGTGAGCAAGCTGACAGAACTGAGCAGGGTGGAATCTCTGTCATTGCTCCCTTTTAGGCCTAGTGGGCTGGAGACCTTGTCACACAGAGGTAGGGGGATGGTGAGATGGGCTTTGTCTTGTGACCCCAGGGATCACAAGGGATGGGGTGACGGATACTCCCGTCTCCCTATCCTGGGCATGACAGGTTTGGGAGCAAGGGGCCTGTGTGCCTGGGCCTCTAGTGAGTTGGGGCATCATATTCATGGCCGAGAGGGAAACGGGCATGATTGTGATGTGTGCCAAGAGGGAAATGTACCCCGGGGGTCTCCTCACCCACCAGAGGGGCAGATAAGTGCGGGGGTCCCAAAAGCTGTCAGCTAGGAAAAGTGACTGATGCCTCTTTCAGATCCAGATCTGCTGGGTGGGAGGTGGGGGGATGGGGTAGGGAAGGGGAATGGGATAGTGGGTGTGAGGCACACTAGTCTGGGGAGCAAGTGAGGGGAAGGCAGCCTCAGTAGGGTCTTCCCTGGTGTGTTTTAAGAATGTATTTGATGGCTCTGCTGTGGGGGACAGCAGATTAGGGGATGCAGGGGGTTAGGGTTAGGCTGTTGCAGCCTCACAACCACACCCCTTAACACCCTGCTCTGGTGCTGGTCCTTCCAGCTGGAAGACTTGAACTTCCCAAAAATAAAGCGGCAGAGAACCATGGACAGGAAGGAGGAGGACAGAAAGGAGTTCAAGGACCTTTTTGATTTGGATAGTGATGAAGACAGCTCTGAACTCTCAGGAACAGGTATTGGGCAGATGGTGCTGGGCTGCCCCTGGTGTCCCTGAGGAGCCAGGACAGAGGCAGGTGGGCCACGGACAGGCCAGTGTCTGGGGGAGTCCAGGGTCCAGACTGGGCAGGATAGGGCCTGGGACCCCCACACCCACACCCCCCCCCCCCAGCCTGAGTTTGGCCCAAGCTGCATGGCTCCTTAGGCTGCTAGACCCAGCCTAAGCCAGAGCCCTAAACCCCGATGCCTCCAATCCGAAACAGCACAGATGTGGTCATGTGACCATCCAAGTCCCAAAATTTCAGTCCATGACAACCAGCTGCAGAAGCTGCCAGGCCCCTGAACTACAAAGCCCGGCCTTGTTTTGCCCTGGATGGAAGAGCAGCACACTGGGTGGGGGGCGGGGGGAAGTGCAGGTCAGCTGGGGTGCACCCGGGCTCACTCACCGGGCAATCATGACGCCAGTGACACCAGTCTGCATGGCGCGGTTGGCATCCTCATACGACAAGATGTCCCCATTTCCTGAGGAGACAGAGGCGCGGGTCTCCAGGCACTGCATGGGTGGTTCACGGGGAGGGCAGTGGGCAGGGAGGTCTGGGCACCCACCAAACAGGGGCATGGGGCTGGCGGCCTTCACGCACTGCTCAATGTACTGCCAGTCAGCCAGCTTGGTGTAGCGCTGCTCCCG